TGGGTCAAATGGTATCTTTATTTGCAACTTTTTGAGAAAGCGCCACAATGCTTTCCACAGTGGTTGCACCATTTTACACTCCCACCTACAGTGAATAAGGGTTCCAGTCTCTCCACAACCTTGCCAGCATTTGTTGCTTGCTGTTCTGTTAAATTTTGCTAGTCTTACTGGAGTGAGATGATATCTCATAGTTTTCTTGATTTGCATCTCTCTTAGGGCTAGGGATTTTGAACATTTGGGCTTCTCCTTCTACTGCATAACAGGAAGCAGAGTCTGCACTTAAGCCCTCTCTGAGCACCCACCACCTTTCTGGGGCAGCAGACATACCTCCCAACACGTGACCCCCTTTGCATAAGAGACAGAAAGACCTGCAGGTGGAAAGGCAGGACATCCACTGACATTTCTCATCAGCAGAGAGTAAAATGCTGTGCCCTGCTCAGTTCACGCCTGATAAGCTATGGGTACAACCCTAGCCCACAGCTCCAGCACAGAACTTGTCTTCTAGCTGCTTCTAGAAGGCAACACTTGTATCCTGGATTTAGATATCAAAACCAAAAGCACCAGTCCATGGCTGTCAAGTTGCGCTGGGTAGGACTCACAGCGTGAGGCTGTACAGCGTAGAGCTCCCCACAGAGTGTCCGAGGCTGTCAGTCTGCACAGGGGCCCACTGTCACAGCTTTCACCCTCGGAGAAGCTGATAGATTTGAACTGATGACCTTTCAGTTATCAAGCCAGCACTGAATCACTTTGCCACTAGGGCACCCCACTATAAAACTGCCTTGCAGAGAAAACTCCTGATAAGGCAGTCCCCCTCAACACAAGCCGAAGACAGCATCTCAGTAAACACCTTTGGAGAACATGGCCAGTTATCAGATGAGCCACTGCCACACGCTGAAGAAAGATAAGCCCACCAGAGCAAAGCAAGATAGCATCCTACCCGCAAAGTTGTGTAAGGCCCTCCCCAAAGCTCTCCTTTCTACCTCTGAAAGTTAGTAGGACACTTGCAGAGAAGCCCTGCAGTGCAATGGTTAAGCATTAGGCTTTTCACTGAAAAGTTGGCAGTTCAAACCCATCAGCCTGCAGCACAGGAGCAAGAAAAGGCTGTCTACTTCTGTAATGATTGTAATTTGGTGTCACAGCTGACTCTGAACCACAGAGACAACATACAACAAAACGAAAGCATACCCAGGCCAGTGCCATCCCCATTGTTGTGGTCACTATTGTTGTTTTTGTTGTTAGGTGCCATCAAGTCGAGTACAACTCATAGCAATCCTATGAACAAAAGATCTGAACTCTGTTCTATTCTGTGTCATCCTCATACTTCCTGACACACAGAGCCCACTGCAGCAGTCACCATGTCAATCCACCTGGCTGAGGGTCCTCCTCTCCTTCACCGACCTTCCACCCTTCCCAGTATCATATCCTTCTTTAAGAAATAGACCCTCCTAGCAACATGCCCAAAGTATGTAAGGCGAGGCCTCATCATTCTTGCCTACAAATAGCACTCTGGCTGCACCCTCTCCAAAACGTATCTGTTTGTTCTCTTGGCCGTCCAGGGAATGTTCAGTGCTCTTCTCCAACACCACAGTTCAAAGGAGTCGATTTTTTTTTCTATCATCCTTCCTTATTCACTGTCCAGCTCTCAGATGTAAAGCAGGTAATCAGAAAGACCATGGCCTGAATCGGGCACACCTTAGTCCTCAAACTGACATCATTACTCCTCAATAATTTGGAGAGGTCCCTAACTGCAGATTTTCCCATTGCAATGCATCTCCTTTATTTCCTGACTGCTGGTACCAAGGATGTTAACTGTGGATCCCAGCAAGATGAAGCTGTTGACAGTTTCAACCTCTTCTCTATCCATCATGATGCTGCCTATTGGTCCAGTGGTAAGAATCTTTGTTTTCTTGATATTGAGATCCATCCATACCAAAGGCTGCATTCCGACAGCTTAGGAAACTCTACTCTGTCCTATAGGATCACTGAGTCAGAATGGACCCAGTAGCACATAACAACAGGGCACCCCCCACTGGACATAAACAAAGAGAATCTTTAAAAAGATGCAAAACATCAAAACAACTATGAGATATCCTCTTACCCCAGTAAGAACAGCAAAATTTAACAGAACAGCAAGCACAAAGGCTGGCGAGGTTGTGGAGAAACTGGCACCCTTATTCACTGTTGGTGGGAGTGTAAAATGGTGCAAGTACTGTGGAAGGCGGTATGGTGCTTTCTCAAAAAATTGCAAATAGAAATACCATTTGACCCAGCAATTCTACTACTGGGAATAGACCCCAAAGAGACCATAACTGACACCCAAGCAGATATATGCACACCCATGTTTATCGTGACTTTGTTCAATAGCAAGGAGTTGGAAACAACCTAAGTGCCCATCAACAAATGAATGGATAGAGAAGCTGTGGTATATTCAACCAATGGAATACTACATGCATTGGAAAACAAGGAACTCATGCAATATTAGTTAAAATGGGTGACCCTGGAGGACATTATGCTGTGTGAAAGATCTCAGTCACTAAAGGACAAATACTGCATAGTGCCACTGCTATAAAACAGGACTGACATTGGGGTTGGGGGGAGACTGAGAAAGAAGGGATAAATAATGTATACTGCATTGAAACAGATGAGGGAGAAAACTGTTTAAAAGGGATATGTGATTAGGTATTATTGTATGACAGGGGTCCAGAAGGAAGACTGCTTAGTGGAGTGAACCTGGGAGGGGAGGGATTTTAAAACAATAAAAGAATTTTCTTTTACTTTTCAAAGAGAAGAGTGTACTGGGAGGGGAAGGGTGGGCAGGGAGAAAAGTGCAACAATGAATGAATGGAAATCCAAAGTCTCTGTACATTTTCATTAAAATTAATTTTAAAAATTATTAAACAAAAAGATGCAAAACAAATAACCAAGTTCCTGGGTGTGAAGACTTAGGACCTGGTCACCCAAGTGGTGGTGTCCACTATGACCTCCAAGGGGCTTCCTCCCTTACATCTAGACTAGAGCAAGACCCTCCAGGATCCCCATCCCAGCTCTGAGTCCCCAGGCCCCACCCAAGCCCCACATGCTTCCCTGCCCACCTCAGGGGTCTCCCACTTACAGCCCTGCCAGCTCTGGCCAGCAGTGAGCAGCACAAGTTCTGAGTTGTCCGGGACGCTGGGGAAGTAGTCAGTGGTCAGCTCCGTGCCATCCTCATACAGGCACAGACGGCAGCCCGACTCGGGGAGCTAAGGGCAGAGAGAGGGGGGATGAAGAGGAGTCACGCTGTTGACTGACCAGGCCTCGGTGGTCACCCAAACGGCAGGGTGAGGCATGTCCCCTGCAGTCCCCACAGAGAACAAGAACACACCGTGCTTTCAAGAATCATGCTTCGCAAGAGACCTGGGAGAAGCACTCCATTTCTGCAACTCAGTGAGCTTGAAGTCATTTTACCATATAGCATATCAGGAGCTCTGGTGGCTTAGTGGTAAGGAACTGCGCTGCCAAACCAAAGGAACACGGTTTGAATCCACCAGCTACTGGGAGAAAGATGGTAACCTAGTTCTGTGTGATTTACTGCCTCTGAAAGTGCAGTATAGGGTCAGCTATGAGTCTGTTCTGATTTAATGACATAAAACAGTACAGAAAATTACATAAAAGCTCTGGTGGCCTAGTGGCAAGGAGCTGCAACTACAATCCCAGAGGCACACGGTTCGAATCCACCAGATGCTCTGCCGGAAAAAGGAGGAATAATCTCCTCCTGTACCAGTCAGATCTGATTTGACGGTACACTCACACAAAAATAAAAAGAATTAAAAAAAAAAAAGTAAAGAAAGCAATGAATGAATGGAAATCCAAAGTCTCTATTAACTTTCATTAAAATTTCGATTTAAAAAAATGTAATAAGGTGAGCTCTGGTGGCCTAGTGGCAGGAAACTGCACTGCAATCCCAGAGGTGCGTGGTTCAGGTCCACCAGATGCTCTGCTGAAGAAAGAGGAACAATCGCCTCCTGTACCAGTCAGATCCAATTTGACGGTACACACATAAAAAGAATAAATAAATAAATAAAATTATCTTTAAAAAAGTGAAGAAAGATAAAAGGGGAGATTGGTAGCTTTGTAGAATTCGCAATGTAAATCCTCTAGAAAAGAGCTCCTTGAAGGCACTAAAACTTGAGTCTATTTCAGACAATGACCTGTCACTGCTTCCACCAAGCCTGTTAAAACATCTTTTTTCTTTTTTTATTATTATTAATTTTAATGAAAATTTACAGAGACTTTGGATTTCCATTCATTCATTGTTTCACTTTTCTCCCTGCCCCCCCCCCAATTCTCTCTTCTCTTTGAAAAGTAAAAGAAAAATTCTGTCATTAGGATACAATCCACTCCCCCATGTCCACTCCACGATGCAGCCTTCGTTCTGGACTCCTGTCATGACAGTAATACCAAATCTTACAACAACGCCTACACACCTCTTGAAAGAGCCACCTACACGCTTTATTGACTCGCTTTCATTTTCTCGTGTGGCCATTGAGAACACTCCGACTCATGGAGACTCACACCATCGTCCCAGCAGAACTGCACTCTGTACAGGGTTCTCCACGGCTACACTATTAGAACCAGGCTTGTCTTCTGAGGCATCTGTGGGTGGACTTGAACCTTCAACATTTTGATTACCAGCAGAGTACATTAAAAGTCTGTACCAGCCAGGTGACCTCATTTTCCCACTCCAAGAAAACTCAGGGCTATTGAATCTATTTCAGCTCACTGGTTACATGGATGGTTACATCCATAAGGTTTCTGAAGCTGTAAAGTGGGAGAAGACTGGTCATTTTTCTCTCAGAGCAGCTGGTGGATTTGAACCACTGACCTTCTGGGTTGCAGCCCAACGCTACACTACCTGGGCTCTTTATTTTGTCATCACTCGGTCACTGATGCTGTCCTTAAATTCACCCAGGGAGACTTCAGGAGTGAATCCTGGAGATGTACGTCTGAAAAGGTTTCTTGAAACACTCTGTGGAACACATAGTCCCAGATGCTTCTCCTGGCCATAAGCGTCCCACACCCTTCGGTTCTGAACAGGTAAAGCAGCTCCTCTTATTCTCTTCTCAATCTCTGGTCAGCACCTGGGTGTCGTGGAAGAGGCTTCATGGACCCTCCTGAATCCTCTTTATGCTAAAATGCAGTTCCAATAAACAAGCTCACCTCTGTGTGTGCCAGGCACGGAGCTGCAAATCCAAGGAGGTCTTCTCACACCTTAGCCATTTTGTTGCAGCCCTAATCCCTGCGTAGGGAGTTCTGGTGGCCTAGTGGTAAGAAGCTGTGCTGCAATCCCAAAGGCACACAGTTCAAATCCATCAGCTGCCACATGGGACAAGGACAGGCAATCGCCTCTCATGCCTCATGTCAGCAATAGGTTGGTTCCAACTACAATCCCTACATAGGCTCTGCTAAGATCCGAAAATAGGCTTTGGAATTTTATGTTGTTGTTGGGGGGGGGGGGTTCCAATTTGTTTTCATTAAATCATTCATATACATTAATGTCCTATGGCATTAATTACAATTGATAAAAGCCTCTTATGTGAAAAACAATGTATTCAAACTTTGTAAATAAATCAGTACCAAAAAAATAAATAATATTTATATATATTTGGAAGCAGGCATGGCATCCACTTCTGAAATGCCTCCAGAAATCCTATAAACAGCACTCAGGTCTTTTGTTCATAGGGCTGCTATGAGTCATCTACAATCGACAGCACTTAACAACGTGTGTGTGTGTGTGTGTGTGTGTGTGTGTAAAAAAAAAATATATATATAAAAGCCTTTTATCATAATATCTCCTCAAACCTTCACTCTACCTTGTCTATTCTTTCACTCTACTCATCTGTCCACTAATCTCTGGTGCCCTAGTATTTTTTCCCTCTCCCTCTTTTTACCCCCTCCTGCTCCCCTTCCATTCCTCCTTTGAACTTCTACTGTCCTGCTCCAAGTTGTTAATGGTAATGCCCCTGTTGTCCATTCTCTCCAGGTTGATCCCCCTCACCCTTTACAGCGTTCACTGTCTGTACCCTCTATTTTGGTGCTCCCCTTCCCCCCGCCCCTATCCTCCTCCTGTTTTCACAGTAGCAGTTTTGTTGTTGGTGAAAAAAATTTGTATTTAGAATTAGCCAGCTGGACTCAGTTTAGATGATCCCAATTTTGTTGGTAACATCCAAAGCATCATAGTTAGGAACAAGTCGAACATAGGCCTTCTTCTCTCCATCAGGCCTAA